AATGGTTGAAGAAGCCATGGACGTTGGCAACCAACGACCGTCGAGTTGTAGAGCTGTTCGCTGAAATGCAGTGTAATCACAGCCCGAATCAGCATGAACCATGTGAAGGCGGCAATGCTGCAAGAACAGCGTACTACACCGTTCCATTTGTGTCACTCATTGCCGAAGCGCTTTACCCAAAACAGTTTTACACACAACGCGTCCCAGCAATGTCAGTCAAGACAACCCATATACAAGACAACCTTGTTGATTCTGAAGACGCCTTTGTGTTGATGTTTGGTCTTGTCACAAAAGCCCTCAGCAGAAATGAATGGCTTTCAAATCCAAAAGCCTTAGAGGCCATCAGAAAGGAAAGTGATGGACTCAGGTCAAACCAGACATGGGATGACGAGACCGCCTGCGATGCAGATGAGCTCACGCGGCAGTCCAAAATCCTGTCCAAAGACGTCAAAGTGGCTGAGCTCCTCATCCTTTGCGGCATTAAGCACGCCGAACTAGATGAGTCCAAACAAAAATACAAAGGAAGGATAGTATACCGAGGGGACAAAGTCATGACTCAAAATGGGGACATAGTCCTCTTCACCGAGGTGTCCACATCGCCCACCACAATCATAGCGCTCAACATGTGTCTCTGGTGGGGTGCTTTGGATGGACACGCCACGTCTACAGCAGACGCTGTACAAGCGTTTTTGCAAAGCTATCTCCCAGAAGATGAGCCAACGTTCGTCATACTACCCAAGCAGCTGTGGATGAGCTCATGGAAAACCAAGTTCCACGGAAGGGTTGCAGTCTGCAGTCAGACTCCGCAAGTCCCTTTATGGGCACCCTCGTGCAGGACGCCTTTGGCAGGAGTATCTTGAGACACGTATTGCCAAGCTAGGGGGTACACCAGTAGCGGGTTTTCCCAGCAAATTCATTTTCAACATCAACAGGCATCGTATGATACTAAATGTTTATGTTGACGACTTGACGTTGTCAGGGGCATCTCATCTTCGCAAGCGATTTTGGGACCAACTCAGTGAGCTCATCAAAATTGAGGACCCACAAATGCTATCTTCTGATAAATCGGTACTCATTCTTGGTAGACTGCACGAACTCGAGACGCCACGAACAGTTAAAATGTCCATGGTTGGTTATGCTGAGCAATTCGTGGATCTATACCTTGACATCACAGGATTGGATGTCAAATCACTCCGTCGCGTGGCCACGCCTCACATCAGTGATAGTGGTCTCGCAGATGAGATGTATGAAAACGCAGGACCTATGAAGCCGCATGCGGCCAAAGTACTGATGAAAGGACTCTGGCTGGCCCGACTGGCTAGACCAGATATTTCATACTCAGTCGGAAGGCTGGCAAGCAGAATCACAGTGTGGACACGCGCTGAAGATGTTCATCTTCAGAGGTTGGTGTCCTACGCTCTACCTCTGGCATGATGATAATCTTGGAATCAGGATCCTCACGCTGGCCAATCGCATGGAACTCGCGACGCCAGTCGTCGGTAGCAAGATCGACAACTGAGGCTGAGATCATCTCCATGGCAAGTGCTGTATACTCCGAAGGACAGCCATTGCTTGATTTTCTAGAACAACTTGTAGACAGGAAGGTCACGATGAAGCTCAAAGAAGACAACTCAGCAACACTAGCAATCTTGAAGAGTGGCTTCTCGGTGAAGCTTAGACACGCTTCAAGAACCCACCGCATCGATGTCGCCAGTTTGGCTGAAACCATCAAAGCTCAAGATATGATCGCTGAGTATTGCAGTACAGATCTTCAAGCAGCTGACGCCTTGACAAAGGTCATTCAGCCCAATGCTTGGGAACGCCTACTGCAACTTCTGAGTGTCCGACCTGCTGCTTCCACATAGTTTGCTGTGTACGTTCCGTCCGCTCGCCGCTCGAAATAATGAGGGGGGAGTTAAGTGACACGTGAACGTTTAGTACATAGCATTTCTCACACGTAGCGCTTACGTTTATTTTGGCTCAAGTAAAACAGTGCGGCGCCCTAGAACTGCTGTGCCGCCCAGGGCTTTTACACAAAACAACTAACTAAAGCAGCGCCAGCACCTCCCCAGCCCTGCGGACACTCTTGCTTGACACTCTTGCTGGACACTCTTGACACGACACTCTTGCTTGACACTC